GCAGGACTCGTGTCCGCCTTATATGCAAGCGCTTCAGTTCTTCCGAGGACTCGGCTATATATTGGGTCCCATTATTGTGGAGCCATTCCTCACTACCGAAGTAGTCGAAGACGATTCGGTCACAACTGTGGCGTCCATTAATGGGACAAAAACGGTCGACAGTATTGTCTTATTTGCCATAAATGGCACTCAATCTCCAGAGCCTAAAGAAGAGGCACACATTTACATACCATATATGATCAATGGAGTGATGTTAATATTGGCGGCGGTATTGGTATTCATTCAATACCTGTTTTGCGTCCGATTGAATCGGTTGACCAAAATGACGGTCTCCTCATCGCAGGACACCATCATCTCTACGATCACATGCGATGACAAAGTCTCGCAAACCATTGACATCGAAAAGTATGAAAATGAGACCAAAAGAGAAGAGCCAAAGCTATACACCCTTTCGATTATCATTTTGTGTTCGGTTTTCTACTTATTCTTCTTCGAAGAGGTTGTGGTCACATATTTGGCCTCATTTTCGGCTAACATTGATCTACACTTAACCAAATCCGGGGGCGCTTTCCTCACCTCAATCTTCAATGTATGCAATGTTATCGGCAAAGGAATCGGTATAGTGTTGGCCCTCAAACTCAAACACTTTACTATGCTTTACATGAATTTGATTGTAATTGTCATTTCGCTCATCATTTTAATCATTTTCTCAAATACATCGCTTGTTATGCTCTGGATTGGAGTCTGTCTTTTGGGTGAATAGCATTTTAATAACTTTTATGTGTTTTAAATTAATTGAATATAAATCATAACGAATATAAATCACCTAGGTGTTGGTCTGTCAAGTATTATAGCATCGCTTTACGCTTTAATGGAAAGCTCTATAACTATGAATTCAATGGTAATGTCATAAATCATATTAATTTGTATTTATATGAATAGATTTTAATGAATGGCATATATTGTATTGCATACACAGGTGTGCGGAGTATTGAATATGTCGGGCACATTGGGCAGTGTGTTTGTGCCGCTGGCCATCGCTAACTACATCGAGTCCTACCCCTTGAGCCTCATATACGCGTCCCTATTGTGTGCGCTCTCGTGTCTCATCGTTTTGATTGCTATCCAAATGCTGATTGTCTTCAGACAAAAGCGACTCAAACGGCGACAACTCATTCAAGAGAAACCTGTTGTCAAGTGTTAGACACACTTTGAGTGCTATTAATAATTAATTTATTTTTAAACATTTATAATTATTTTTACAATTTGAAAGACTAAAAGCATTAATTTATTACTTAAATCATTACATAATTAATCACAAAAGTAATTACACGTGTTTTTATCATTACTTGTTAGCAAGTTTTTAAATAAAGTTTTTACTTAACATAATATATAAATCAATAAATAATGATTAATTAACAAAATGATTATTGCATTACAAATGTGTGCAAAAAACTTATAAAAGGCGCTCAAAATCAATGCATTCAATGCATTGGTTCAACACATTGACAGTCAAACCAATGGACTGGCAGTGAATTAGGCCGTAATGTATGGACACTAATGTGTGTATTGTTTAGACCAATGAGTGTTTGGCAAACGAGTCGTTCAAATGATAGGCATTTGAGTTGTGGTCTGTTTTTGAGCGCAAATTCAATACAATTGACTGTGAATTGAGTGCCATTTGAGATGTGTGCGCTCTCGTGTCTCATCGTTTTGATTGCTATCCAAATGCTGATTGTCTTCAGACAAAAGCGACTCAAACGGCGACAACTCATTCAAGAGAAACCTGTTGTCAAGTGTTAGACACACTTTGAATGCTATTAATAATTAATTTATTTTTAAACATTTATAATTATTTTTACAATTTGAAAGACAAAAAGTATTAATTTATTACTTAAATCATTACATAATTAATCACAAAAATAATTACACGTGTTTTTATCATTACTTGTTAACAAGTTTTTAAATAAAGTTTTTACTTAACATAATATATAAATCAATAAATAATGATTAATTAACAAAATGCTAATTGCATTACAAATGTGTGCAAAAACTTATAAAAGGCGCTCAAAATCAATGCATTCAATGCATTGGTTCAACACATCGACAGTCAAACCAATGGACTGGCAGTGAATTAGGCCGTAATGTATGGACACATTACACACATAACAAATCTGGTTACTCACAAACCGTTTGCTCAGCAAGTTTACTATCCGTAAACTCAACACCAGACAAAAACTCGCGTTTAAGTTATGTTAACTGACACTTAACTCACGGTAAACTCTGGACACTACCGCTAAGGCTCTCATCTTTGCGTCACTTCATCCCATCAACGGATCCATTCGTAGCCATGAGTCGGAAGCGTAAACACGAAGAGGTGGTCGACACCAATCAGGAGGAGATGGAGGACAACAGCCGTAAGTGTTGTCTTCGCAGACATTGGATGTGTTGTCTAACCATATGTTGTGTCCATTAGGCCCGGTGTGTGTGTTTTGCCGGCAGTCCGTCAAGAATAAGTACTATTTGGGCAAAATTATGACCAGAGATGAGATGTCTGCCCACTATTACTGTAT